CTGGACCTCATCTGCAGAGCCCACCAGGTCATTATGACGGGAGTTAAAGTAGAGAGTCTGGATGGTATACATTATAAGTGCATGACAAGCAAACTTGGAGACTTAAAACTGTTTGGCCATGCACTTTACTTATAGTGGACTTCCATTAGTGTGAGTGTGTCTTTGGAACAAGTAAATACTGTGGAGGAAACACAAGCTAAACCACATTATTAATAGGCCTGCTACAGCAGTCTAGCCCAGTGTATTTCTCCCCCATGAATCCATGGTGTACAGCCTACCTTCTTCTATTGAATTTAAAGGGAGCAACTCGAACTCATGAAGGAGGTGTTGTGTTTTATTGACCAAAAACAATTTGTTTTCAAAAGTGGAATGTATACATTGGCTGTTTTGGCTCTGCGTTGGGTGCTTTGTATTGATTCAGATGTAGGTGGTTGTGGACACATGACAATTATAGCAGAGTAGGTTTCTGAAACCAGCTGGAGATCTGTGTGTGTTTATCGATCGCTGTAGGCGGTGGAATAATGTCCCGTGTCTTCTAACAGGTTGTGGAGGATGGCTATGAGTTCTTTGCCAAACGCCAACTGGTCACACTCTTCTCCGCTCCAAACTACTGCGGGGAGTTCGACAATGCAGGCGGCATGATGAGTGTGGATGAATCCCTCATGTGCTCCTTCCAGGTATTCTAACAAACCATTATAACACCTTTTTGATATTTCAACTAAACTTCATCTCAGAAACACTCACGTTTTCTCTCTGTGTTTTTTTTTTAAAGATCCTAAAGCCCTCGGAGAAGAAGGCCAAGTATCAGTACGGTGGTGTAAATTCTGGTCGTCCCGTCACCCCACCCCGCACCGCCCAAGCCCCTAAGAAGAGGTGAACGCACCGCCTGATCTCTCACCCGCTCCGTCCCTGGTCTGCCACCATGGCGACCCCTGTAACTCCCCTGTATAGCGAAGATACAGGGCTTATCTAATTGCCCAAATCTTTCTCCTCTTTCTTCCCCCACTCACACAACCTTCCCAAAATCCACTGACAGCTCTTTTCTTAATGTGTATGTGTACATAAATTTGCTGTGACCAATCTCTTTTTTTTTGCCTGTTTGTTGGTATTTTTGATATTATTAACAGAGTTTGTGGTTTTACTTCCAATGCCATTTAAAGTTTTCTGAGGGTCTGTGTTGTCTCTGCGAAGAGGGACAGAGTGATTGAGTTAGAGGAAGTCTTTTTGAGTTTGACAAAAACACAGTAGAGATTAAACATTGTTGTTGTTTTTGCCTTGACCTCTGAAAGCAGAGAAAATCCTTCCAATGTGTTACAATGAGACTGAGGTCCTTAGACACGATAACATTTCTTATATTCCGGTTTAACTGTTTGAAACATTATTACTGCGTTTGCGGTGAACTTGCGGTTGTTGTGCAGGCGAACATTTTATATAATTAACCATTGAAAAAGTGCACCTCCCTGAGTGGCAAGGAATGTGAAGAGACCGGCTTGAATGAAGGATAGAGGGTAAATCGGATGCTGCTGGCAGTGGACCCGCTCTCCCCAAACACAACGCCCTCTGGGCATCCATTCCTCTGCTCTGCTATGCCTCCCTGTGCCTCGACTCCACACCCACACAAAAACATGCCTCTCCTCACAAAGAGCTGCTATTGACATGGGTCTAATTATTATTTGTTTACGATTATGTTCCCGAAGTCCTCTTGATTTTTGATGAAAGATGCTGAGTTTTTTTTTCATGTCCATGCATTTAAATAATATGTGTGACTTCTAGTCAGTATCTTAGCTGTTGACATACTGGATAAATGGTGTACTAATAGTGTATTTGTATGAAGTTAAGGAAAGAAAACATCTAACAGCACTTGAATAAAAAGCCAGCTTCACAAAATGCTCTACAGTGTTTGAATTGTTTAGGGCTGTGGGTGTAGAGTACACAACATCAACAACATAATGTTTGTTTGTTCTTGGATCTTTTTTAAGTAAAGTGCCAGCTATCCTCCTGTCACATCACCCAGTGTGTCCTGGTATTGAGTTTGAAAGCTGGAGGAGTCAGGAGTGGCAGGACCGGCCGTTATGCGATGTGACAGTGACACCACCTGGTGTATACATACAGTAGTACAATACAAATCACAAGTGAGTTTCAAACCAGACAGCTCAGGATGGGCTTTTCATTTTATGTCCTGGAAAAAATGTTGCGAGGAGGTACTGGAGGTTCATTTTAGTCTTCTGCAAAGAAGCAAAGTCGACAATTTGTGGCTGACCGTTTCCTTTTTTCAATCTTTAGTTTGCTCTTTTTGGTAAAATGCTTTCTGTGGAATTTTTCTGTTTCACGATTCTCATTGCTTTCTTTGTATTCACTTAATTTATTTCACAATACTGATAATAAGAAAACAATGAAGTATTACCAAAAGCTGTTTTGCAATTTGTACACGTTTGTTTGAAACTCTATAAATCAATAAAATTGATGGAAACTAAAACTGTTGTCCCCTCTGAATTCACTCATTTTTGCATGAATGCTCTTCTTTCAAGAAATTTGAGAATTGCAAAAATTATATTTTATTCACTTTTTTATCTCAGTTTATCCAATGTTGCCGTGCAGACGTCTTTTAGCCCATTTCAGGGCACTGTGCATCGGCCCTGAATACAACCAGAGGATGAGTGGCAGTATGAAACATGGCAGGCCCAGGTGGAGGTGGGCCATGACCCAGGCGAAGCAGATCCACAGTCCTATCTTTAGAAAGAGGAGAGTGTAGTAGATGATGGTTTGTGAGCTGAATGTGAAGTTGACCTGAGAAAATAAATGAAAGTAATTCATTTAACATGTATTTAAGATTTCTGCCAAAAAACTGGTTATGATATGTGTTCATTTTGGGCATTTTTGGACAAACATCTTGACTAGCCAAACCTGTACATCCTGTTGTTTCACTGGATCCATCATCACATCATCGCAGTCACCAAACCTCTGGAGGCTTTGGCTCCGATAGGGCTGTCTGATAGGGCTGCTCATTTTCTTGCTGCACACTAATGGCTTTCTTGGCTTTAGTTCTTCCGTATTCATGGTTTCAAGCAAATATGGAATACTATGAACAGACACATTAAAACAGACCTATTGATCGATCAAATCAACTTATTGACATGAATATTGTTGTTCCATTAGTGCCAAAACTCCAATACATGTTATGAGGTATACTTTTCTGAAGAAAACCAAATAAAACACGAACATTAACCAAAGCACAAAACAACAATATCCTTATTTCTGATATATTTGTAGTTTGCTTGACTTACCGTGTACACAGATTGGGCCCAATGGTCGAGATGAGCACGTTTTTAAAAATTGCAACTACAAAATAAAGCTGGAATGTTTTTTTTCGAAACAGAATTTTTGTATAGTAATAAAAAACAATGTATTGGTCCTTTTAGTGATGATTCCATTGTGTAATACACCTCACCAAACAAATGGGGGCGACACGTATAATTCTCATTCAGTAAAACTGCTCCTCTCATTGTTGTTGACGTTGACGCAGCTCTAACATCAGATTCATATACAGCATGGATGTGTCGCTGCCACTGCGCATGCGCTGCTGAAGCATTTGTAGATCTGCAAACAACCTAGCCCAGAAGTGCAGGTTGTGTCCCATCCTCTGCATCTCTCATATCTCTTACAACGAAATATTTAATGAAGAGTCGTCCGAACTGTGAAGACTGTAGTTGAGTATTTAACACTAGAGGTTTTATTTCAATTAATAGAGTTGAATTACGAAAACAATTGAAGTGGTGTCCTATCGGAGGATAAAGCTAATATTGTGTCACCGTTGTTATTCTAGGCTGCTGTTGACAAGTCTAAAGTTAATCGATATAGGTATGGTTGAAGTCTGGTAAGTTTAGTAAATGTGTCTTTATGCATCGGTAAACTGTATGTAAGAAGCTTTTGCTGAATTAGCACATGTGTTACTATACTGTACGTTCTGACAGCACTTCCGGCTTGTGTGTAGTATTTTAAAACAATGTAGCTTCGTTAGCTCCGTGTGCCTCTTTAATTCACTGTTTTTTAAGCAACGGTTATGCAATTTTAAATCAACAACCAAATATTGGATTTATGCAACCTCTTACATGTAAGCATTTTGCTGCCTAACTTAAAAAAGAATTACATTCTGATAGTATTTTTTCTTTATTTTCTGATATTTTTAGAGTTGAAGAGTTTTTAATTGCAGCCATTTCCTTTTGTAACACACTTAAATGCATTGTTTTCTCAAACCTCCAGGCTGAACATTACCTCACTGACAGAGCATTGATGGCATTCTGTTCTGCTACAGTCCCTCACTGCTGCCTCAGCAATGAACTGTGGAAAGCCTCAAGCACATACTGAAGAATGGCAAGGTTTAGGCGCAAATCTTGCATCACATTAATTGCTTTGGTGTTGCTCGTGCTCATAGTAACAGTGGTCTTAAAGGCGCTGACACCTGAGGACTCTCCGTTCGACAACCCTGTCGGTGAACAGCCGGTCCCGGAGAGAAGGAATGACAACCAGATCCAGAGAGAAAATGACAATAAACTTGTCCAGAGCAAAATGACTGACTCCGCTCAGTCAGACAAACTGGAGGCTGCACTGAGGAAGTTCCCTCCTCCAAACTACTACCTCCATGCCTTCTACTACACATGGTATGGAAACCCCAAGTTTGATGGCAAATACATCCACTGGGACCACCCACAGCTGCCTCACTGGGACTTAAAAGTAGCTCAGGGTTATCCACAAGCAAGACACGTCCCACCTGAAGACATTGGGGCCAACTTCTACCCCTCTTTAGGGGCTTACAGCTCCAGGGATCCCTCCATCATAGAGTCCCATATGCAACAGCTACGCACAGCAGCCATTGGTAAGATTGACATTAAACTTAACATTGCCATCATAGTTATAAAATCTGCTTTGATTGAGTTTTATAACATTTCAGTTTTCTTTTGTTAATGGCACACAATTTAGTTAACAAACCAACATTTAGAGTTGGGATTTAGCATACATAATCCATATCAACAGATACCATGAAACAGATGGTCAGCATATCATTTCTGCCCCATCTTTATTACTCTTACTCATTTAATATCACTGCAGTACATGTACTCTATATGATTTGCTTATTCATTAACAATTATCTGATCGTTTTCTTTGTTTGAACTGTACCTGTGTTTTTTCTCAGGTGTCCTTGTTGTGTCCTGGTATCCTCCTAATATGAGCGATGATAACGGTGAACCAACGGATGACATTGTGCCTTTGCTGATGGAGGTGGCACATAAATACCATGTTAAGGTATGCATGAGGAAAGTAGTGAGTTTAGTAGCCTATTGCTTGTAGTTATCAGCAAACTAAATATTTTGTTGTAGTTCCCTAAAATCATCAATATTGTGTAATTCTGTCATTTTTGTGTGTACAGGTAGCGTTTCACATCGAGCCGTACAAAGGAAGAGATGAAGTCAACATGTTAACTAATGTCAAATACATCATTGACAAGTGAGTGTTTCTTCACTGTTTTCAGTCAAATGTCAGCTCCATAATCTCAAACTCCCTCTGGAAATCTTTCTCGATCAATAATTCTAATGTTTCTATCAGTCATTTTATTCCTTTGACATTTGTATTTCTTCCCTTTTATTTTGCACCTCCTCTTCTCAGATATGGAGATCACCCTGCCTTCTTCAAGTACCGGACGAACACTGGCAAGCTTCTTCCACTCATCTATGTGTATGACTCATATCTGATGAACTCTGAGCAGTGGGGCAAACTGCTCAAACACACAGATAGTAACAGCATCAGGGACACCCCGTATGACGCCATCTTCATCGCCCTGCTGGTCGAGGAGAAACATAAGAGGGATATCCTTACTGCTGGTTTTGATGGTGTCTACACCTACTTTGCTACCAATGGGTTTTCCTATGGGTCCACTCAGCGAAACTGGGACTCCCTTAAAGCTTTCTGTGAAGACAACAACTTAATATACATTTTAAGTGTGGGCCCCGGGTACATTGACACAGGCGTTCGACCCTGGAACTTCCAAAACACTCGAAACCGCATCAACGGCAAATACTACGAGACCTCTCTGAGTGCTGCGTTACAAGCCAGGCCTGATTTCATCGCTATAACATCTTTTAATGAATGGCACGAGGGGACTCAGATTGAAATGGCAATACCAAAAACAGGTCAGACTGTGTATATGGACTACCTGCCCAATAAACCTGCAATCTACCTGGAGATAACTCGCAAATGGGCTGCCATATTTGGTGGGGAGCGACGGAAATGGCAGGATTGATCCCTGACTAAAAGCCATAGTAAATGTTAGTTCATGGTTGTATAAAATAAATGAAGTTGTAGTTGCAAAATGCACGATAAAATGCAAATGATGAATAGTTGTAGGAGAAAAGCTTAATGATTTTGAAAGTCACAGGCCATTGAACTCAATTATCATAATTATGGCTGCAGTGATGTACGTGAATTATTTACACTTGGGTAAATTATTGTTAATTTAACTGATGTCTTATTTCTTATGTTTACACATCCTTGTGTATTTTGGGAATCATAACTTAAAACAGCATGTTTTCTCACTGACTTCACCGTATCCATCTACAACTGTTCGTAGGCATGTGATGCCCTCCTTTAATCTGTGCCTGCATTAAACCTTAGAAGATTAAATAAAGTGTGTCCTGGAAAGAAGGAAAGTAAACAAAGCAATCTGCCAGAACAAATCTGTCGCCTCACTCTGCTCCCAACTCTGCCTTAGCCCAAAAGCAATAGAAGAAATATCACAGCAAGTGCAGGGAACATTTAGAAGATCTAATGTTTGGAATCTTTTTTTGTAAAAAATGTTTAGGAATGGTATTTACACTATTCTACATGCCTGTTACACATTGTCATAACGGCTGTATGCGTTAACCCTATGGCATTAACACGTAAACACCTTTCTGATTACATTTTGGAACTTCCCTGCTGTAAAAGTAGCATTTTTGTCATTATGGTAGTGTTTTTGCCCACCTCTACACTGTGATAACCATCTGGTTGCTCACTCTGTCTGTTTTGTGGTGCTGAGTAAGCAGTGTACAGTAGGCCCTACTGAGTAGGGTCGAATGGTTAGATGTGGAAGGGTGGTCAAATGAAAGGCATTGAGTTGCATCATAGGTGGTGACCCGTTCCGCCACAAAACTCCCTGTGAAGGGAACATTGGCCCATGGAGGGTCGACACAGAAAGGGCAGATTATTCGCACCCGTCACAATGCCGTCTCTTTCAAATGGACATGATGGGGAAAAGTGTAATTGTGGAGAGAGATGACTTACTCTGGGATAAATGCAATCGTTTATCGCCGCAAACTCTGGGGAAGAGCCGGAGAGTGAGAGACAGAACTGGACTCCTCACAGCAGTGAACTTCAGCACAGGTATAAAGACTATTTTTGTCATACTGTACAAAGAATCAAGAAAGATATTGGTTTAAATAAATGAAGTATTGACTTTAATACACNGGTAAGCTCAGGTACAAAGACTCTTTTTTTCATACTGTACAAAGAATCAAGAAAGATATTGGTTTAAATAAATGAAGTATTGACTTTAATACACTGATATACATTCCATTAAACAATACTAAATACTAGATCACCAACACATCAGTTAAGCTGAGGGTTTTTTCCATGCAAAAAGTTACATTTAGATGTTAACAAGCAATATGATTTTGTCAGCTTTCTAATTTAATGTATTGAAGGCAAAGATATTTAACACATAGTGAGAACTGCTACTATTTATCTCTCAATATTGTCTGTAAAAAACGTGGTAAAAGTTATTCTTTCAGTGAGACAACAGAGCAAGCTTCTACAGTTGCACTACGTTTTGATAACAGTTCAATATTATTTTGATAATAACATAATTTCAATGTTGATGAACTTCATACTTTTCATTCATAATCTGATTGTCTTTGTAGCTCACTGTTGAAATAAAAGAAAAACATTACAATTACAAAATAATTATATCTACAGCCCCTAAACACACAAACACACCGCTTTCATAAATAACACACTTGTTCTGCAATAATATGTTTTATGTTTCCTGTAATTTTTGTTAGGAAAGGACATGCCTGAAAGACACGACTCAACATTTTCTCCTTCTCTGAGGGTCAAGAAGAACATCCAAGAGGAACATTAAAAGCTGATGTTATGAGATTTTAAGACCAGTACAGGACATTCACTAAGAAACTACTTTTATTGTGAAAACACAGTCAGCTGATCTGCACCTATTTCCACATCTACACTCCATCAGCTGATTATTTCTATTTGCCTCGCTTTATGAGCTTCACATCACTTGTGCCTTGTACCGCAG